AGAGCTTGAATTAATAATGAAGCATTCAATTTGACTGTGATAAGGATGAAATTTCGAATTTTCGTCAGAGAAAGGAAATTGAATTTACAATCGACTTGTTACCTGGCGTGGGGCCTATCTCTCTTGCCCCATACCGGATGTCACCTCTGGAATTATCTGAATTGAAGAAGCAGATAGAAGACTTGTCTAGTAAGAATTTTATCAGACGGAGTGTATCTCCGTGGAGAGTCCCGGTGATCTTTGTTAAGAAGAAGGACGAGTCTATAAGATTGCGTACAGATTACCGGCAGTTGAACAAGGTTACTGTCAAGAATAAGTATCCTTTGCCGCGTATAGACGATTTGTTGGATCAATTGTGTGGTGCGACTATATTTTCTAAGATTGATCTTCGGTCTGGGTAACATCAGATCCGGGTATAGCCAGATGACGTTCCGAAGACAGCTTTTAGGTCCCGTTATGGGCACTATGAGTATCTGGTTATTCCTTTTGGGTTTACAAATGCACCAGCCGTTTTCAAAGCCTATTTGGATCAGTTTGTGGTGGTCTTTATAGATGACATACTGATATATTCAAAGAGTAAAGAAGAGCATTCTGAGCATCTAAAGGTTGTTTTGCAGATTCTGAGAGAGCATCAGTTGTATGCTAAACCGTCAAAATGTGAATTCGGGCTTTCTGAGATACAATTTCTGGGCCATGTCATTTCATCTGAAGGAGTGACAATGGACCCGAGTAAGATTGAAGCAGTGTTAGATTGGGAGCGACCTAAAAATATTACAGAAATCGGGAGTTTTCTTGGTTTGACTGGGTATTACAGGCATTTTATTGAGGGATTCTCACGGATGGTACTACCTTTGACACGGTTAACCCGTAAGGGGAACCCATTTGTGTAGACCCAAGAATGTGAAGTGAGTTTTCAGGAGTAAAAATGAAGTTGACTACAGCTCCAGTATTGATATTGCCGGATCCTACCAGTAAATTTGTGGTGTATTGTGATGCTTCTAAGTTTGGGTTAGGCTGTGTTTTAATGCAGTTTCGTCAGGTGGTTGCTTATGCTTCTCGGCAGTAAAAGCCGCATGAGGAGAACTATCCGACACACGATCTTGAGTTGGCAGCCGTAGTGTTCGCATTGAGAATCTGGCGACACTTTCTATACGGGGGCCGATTTCATTGTCTACAATGACCACAAAAGTTTGAAGTATCTGTTTGATCAGAAAGAGCTGAATATGAGGCAACGCCGATGGGTAGAATTCCTGAAGGATTATGATTTTGAATTGCAATATCACCCCGATAAGGCTAATGTAGTAGCAGATGCTTTAAGCAGAAAGGCGCTTGGTATGGCCAATTTGATGATTTCTGAGTATAATTTGATTGAGAAATTCAGGGATCTCTGCATTCCTGTGAATATCGAGGATAGTCTGCATTTATTGACTACTACGGTAGTCCAGAACTCATTAGTTGAGCGGATCAAAGAAGCTCAATTGCTTGATGAAGAGATTCAGTCCATGAAAGAACAGGACTTTGTGTCCACTGATAGGTTCGGTCTTAAATTTTGCAAAGATCGGATCATTGTTCCGAAGGGTCAAATAGTGGATGAGGTGTTAACTGAGGTCCGTATAGGTAAGTACATTATCCATCCTATTGCTACCAAGATGTATCAGGCCATGAAACCAAATTTCTGGTGGTCTGGTATGAAGAAAGATATTGTCCAGTTTATGAATAAGTGTTTGATATGTTATATATGTGCATTCATTCACATTCATATAAATATTATATGATTTTTGATGTAATGATGATATATGTTATGAGAATCCTGGTCAGTGACCTTGGTATGTTGACTGCCTATGGCTTTGACCCTGGGAGTTATTTTCATACTACAGTTTGTGTTGATTGCCTATGGCTTGACCCTGAGAGTCACACTAGACATGTGAGACATGTCAGTTAGCTATTCTTGGGGAGAGCCCTTGAATAGTTAACCAGAGTATTAGTTATGATGTGATGTTTTGCATTTAGCATGTATCAAGGATATTCCTTGTGTAATTCATAGAGTGCAGTTTCCCTGGTCATTAAAATTTGTAAATTGTATTATCAGTGTAAGGGTTGATGTACAATAAATTGTAAATTATATTATCAGTAGAATTTGTAAATTGTATTATCAGTGTAAGGACTGGTGTACAATGAAATTGTAAATTGTATTATCAGTGCAAGGACTGATGTACAATAAATTGTAAATTATATTATCAGTAGAAAGACTGATACATTGATGTTTCAGTGGAATTATATTTTCAGTAAGAAGATGGATGTAATAAGTAAGTCCATTATATGCTAAACAAGTCATGTTTAGACCAAAAATGATAAGTTTAGAAATTTTACGATTTTGCGTGCATACAGTGCACAATTTGTAATTCACAGGGCACTTCGTTAAAAACAGTGCAGAAACCCAACTGTGAATTGATATTACTGTTCCTTAGGGAATAAAAGTGAACTTAAATGAGCTCAGAGAAATAAAATGACGAATATAAGTTTGAGAATGAGAAGTCCTCTGGATTGCTGCAGCCCTTGAATATTCCGGAATCGAAATGGGTCAGTATTTCTATGGATTTTGTAGTAGCATTGCCGAGAACTCATGCTGGTTTTGATTTTATATGAGTTGTGATAGACAGATTGATTAAGTCTGCACATTTCATTCCAGTCAAGATGAGTTCTCTACTGAGCAGTTGGCTCGATTATATGTAAAAGAGATTGTGAAACATAAACCCTTTGAATTTTATGAAGGGAATCATGTGTTTATTAGTTTGTCTCCGACTACAGGTTTAGGCGTGCTCTAGGTGTGAGGAAGTTAAGTCCTAGGTTCATAAGGCCCCACCAGATAATAAAGAGGGTCGGACCTGTGGCGTATCAGCTTGCCTTACCTCCACATTTGTCTAATTTCCATGATGTTTTTTTCGCATCAGTCAACTTTGTAGATATGTATCTGATGTGTCCCACATTGTCCAGCAGGACAATAATGAGGTAAAGTAAGATTTGAAGTTTGTTGTGGGACCACTGAAAGTTCTGGTTCGTGATGAGAAAGTATTAAGGAACATGGTTATTCTTATGGTTAAGATACAATGGGAAGTTTGACTTCTGAGGACGCTATTAGAGAGCGAGAGAATGATACTCTCCAGCATTATCCTGAGTTTGACGTCAGGTATATGTTATGTCTTAAGTTTGATTTTGTGGGCAAAATCCTTAAAAGGTGGGGTGAATATAATAACCATCACTAGTAGTTGTGGATTTAATTTTGAAGAATAATTAGAAGTAAAAGAAATAAAGTCACTTTTGGTGAAAGAGGAGTTAAAATGACAGTTAAGTGGTAAAAATGCGGGTAAATAAAGTTATCCAAAAAGTGAAAGTAAATATAGAAAAGTGACTAGAAAAATATTCTAGTCTTTTGGGTGAAGTTTGGTAATAAATGGAGGTGCATAGATAGATAAGCTTATACCCACTAGTAAAATAAACTCACTTAAGTGAGTAGTGAGCCACTGTTTCCCCATTCTTCTTCGTCGTCGGACAGAGAGCAAAATGAGAGAAATGGAGGTTTTGAATAAAAACCTTCCAAAATTCGTAGAGAGAGCTAGAGACCTCCAAATCACTCCGTTCCAAAGCCAAACTTGTGAGAAATTTCGAGAGGAATCCATTGGTACCAGTATTTCTGGGTGGGTTTCACTGTAGAGAGAGATCTTCATCATCTAAGATTTCGAATTTCATGGATAATGGTGATTTTGATGGAGCTTGAGGCCATGGGAGCTTAGATACTCATCTCTCCTTTGTTTTAGAGTGCATTGTGGTAAGAAATTTCCTTCCTTTTCATGTTTTTATGAAGATTGAATTTATGGTTTCATTTTGAAAATTTGGTTTGATTGAGCATGTTAGAGCTTGATTCAAGTTTAGCTCATGTTGAGAAAAGTGTTTAGATGAGAATTTTAACGGTGAAAATGTATCTGAAAAATTAAAGATACCATATTTTTGAATAGTGTTGTATACGTGAATAGTGACGTATACATGAATAGTATTGTAGAGATGAACGGTACCGTAGTACCGTATATATATGAATTAATGAATCTTGGATTAGAGGTGTGTGATAAGCTTGAATTTGATGGACTAAAGCATTGGAATCATGAAGTTGGCATGAATTCCTTTGCGTGCCTCTTAGCCATTTACAAAGGAAGTATGTGCTATGAGTTACTGTTTTACAAATCGAGCATACTTTTATGCGTGGAATAATATTCTAAGGTGTATGGACCTTCGCTTTGGTGAAATAAAAAAGAAAATAAGGTAGCTCCTTTGTATGACCTTAAAATGAGTTTTAGCCATTTTCAAAGGAGGTATATGTTCGGAGATATTATTTCGCAAAGTGAGAACACTTATATGCGTAAAATAATTTATATAGGTGGCTAAGCTTGGGTTTAGGCACTAGGCAAAGAGAAATCTTATAGCTCCATTGTAATGGGCATTCTGCCTTAAGTTGGGACTATCCTAAGACTAAGTGAATGTTTGAAATTTTGTGGGGATTTATTGAACAAAGAACCACCCACTCATGACTTAATATGATTTAAGTAAAAAGAAAATAAACAATAAAGTGTGTGTCTTGTATATTTACATGGCATTATATCATTTTATTGAGTTTTGTGTTGAATTCCTTCTCTAGGTGTACCTACTGTGAACGTTTGGATTCTCGTGGAGCATGATAAGTAGCTTGCTCTTCAAGTAAGCAAACTGTAAAGCTCCAAGAGGTAAGCTCTATGTTTATGGGGTTCGCTCCTACTTTGTGTTCCGCCATAGTGTACGGACTGTGGTCAGGTTGTATGATATGTATGAGATATATGATATAGATGCATTCATATAGAGCTATATGATAATATGATATGTTTTGTTTTGATGTATTTGCTTTGATATGTGTTAATATGATATGTTTTGTTATGATATGACTTCTGTAATATGATTTCTGTAACAATATCTGGCCATTGATTGTATAGTACCCGGATGTTCGCTTTGGGGTCCTCCCTCGGGACTGATGGTGTACGCCTCTGATATGTTCTGGTTCCGCTTTGGGGTCCTCCCTCGGGAACACGTGCGTTGATTTCCGCTTGGGGTTCTCCCTTGGGAATGACTGCGTACGCCTCTGATATGTTCTGGTTCCGCTTTGGGGTCCTCCCTCGGGAACACGTGCGTTGATTTCCGCTTGGGGTCCTCCCTTGGGAATGACTGCGTACGCCTCTGATATTTTCTGGTTCCGCTTTGGGGTCCTCCCTCGGGAACACGTGCGTTGATTTCCGCTTGGGGTCCTCCCTTGGGAATGACTGCGTACGCCTCTGATATTTTCTGGTTCCGCTTTGGGGTCCTCCCTCGGGAACACGTGCGTTGATTTCCGCTTGGGGTCCTCCCTTGGGAACACGTGCGTTGATTTCCGCTTGGGGTCCTCCCTTGGGAATATCTGCGTACGTTTCTGATAAGATATGTGTATATGTTTTGTTTAGTTATGATATTTGATTATATGACATGTTTTATGGGATATGTATGATGATTTTGTAAATGATATTTGTTACGTACGTTGATTTCCGCTTGGGGTCATCCCTTGGGAACGATTGCGTACATCTTTGATATAACACGTTTTGTTCTGATGTGAGTATTGTGATGATTTTTGTAAAAGATATTTGTTACGTGTGTTGATTTTCGCTTGGGGTCATCCCTTGGGAATGACTGCGTTTGTCTTTGATAAGATATGTATATATGCTTTGTTCAGTTATGATAATTGCTTATATGATGTTTTGTATATTATGTATCTGACTGTCATACAGGAAGTGAGCCCAGGGTATGGAGGGTTTTCCATAAACCTGGAGTTTACTAGAGATTCGTCTCTAACCCCGTTTGGGGATATGATTTCAGGAACACAGTTAATTGAAGAGCCTCATGGGACAAGGACACTAACCGTGGCTAGAGGTACTAGTATGAGGATGTGGAGTTCTGGGTGGTCGGATGCTACTATTTGTTTTAGACGTATTTTTGGAAAAGATGTATTGTTGCATAGTGTTCATATTTGATACATGTACATTTATGTATTCAGGCATGATGATATGACTATGTAATATTTAGTTATGTTATGTATTGGATTGCATGCTATTAGATTTGTGGCACGGAGCCAAGTTCAGCATGCACCCATAGATGGGTATCTGAGTATATTTGCATGACTGGTACTTCTGGAAATATATATTGTTTAAACTGTCTATCAGGAACTCTTGAGTGTGGGATTGGAAAATCCCCAGTTGTCCGATTTACAGAGGTTACTCTGTCCGATTTTCGTCTCCGTAAAATAAGAATTAAATTAGAAGAAGTATGCAATGTGATATGTCATGTGAAAAAGGATTAAAGAAAAAGCAAAAGTTAGTTCGTATTTTCGTAAGTTAAGTCTTCCGCTGTTTCTGTTTGTATCATATGTATGTTAATTGAACCGGCTCGAGACGGGGATGTTACATTTGGTTGGATAAAATTTTGATGGGGAAATTAGGTAACTTTTATAAAGTCTATGTTTGGGTGTAGGTAAAATATAGATGGGAAAATAAGTTGCAATTACGAAAATGTCCATGTCTTTAAAAAAATTTGGTTGACCTACCCTTTACCTTTACCCGTGAACAACCTTATGATTGTGCCTTGGATATTTGCCAATGTCCATATCAAACCACACCAACGTATAAATTTTATAAATTTTTGATTTTTGCATTTTAGTTATGTGCATACATGATTTTAATGCAGTAAACTTATCAATGTTGCTATGCCTGGGACTATAGATGAGCGAGCCATCAATACAAGATTTTCTTACTCTTCAGAAAATACTTTGGCTTAGCAGCGTTACATATGTTTAGTTCTGGATCTGATTCTTTTCAAGTGCTCTAGTTATTAAGGAAATGTAATTAGCTTAATTCTCTTGGTCATGGAACTTAACCATTTTGAAGGTATTATTCCATGTGCTCATCATGAACTCATTTTCCCCATTTTTTTAATCCCTTTCACAGGATGTTCGCATCAGTTATTAGGAGTTTATGGACATGATGAAAACTGGAATTTATAGGAGAAAAGGATGTAGGCAGTATGAAAGATCTCCTTCAACTATATTGTGTTTGATTCATGTCCCATGTATCATGTACAAAGTTATTCGTATATGGATTCATCATAATGCAGCATCGTATACAAAAGGGGTCATATTTTATAATCCTATTTTTTTAGACCCTTTGCAATACATAAACCCAACATCTTAATTCCACCATTTCATTGGTGTCCCTTACAAGTGCATGACATGTGAGATACATATGCTAAGCTCAACATTATCATAAATTTCAGAAACAAGTTAATAAAGATCAGTCTATTAATCTGTGAACATCAGTCTTCACAAGTTCTTGGATGATGTAATCTGTGAGGATGATGGGAGTTTAATAGCCCAGGAGTTCACACTAAGAACACACAACAATTTAAAGGATGATAAGAGTAGAAGACAGTCAGCATGCACAGGTAGTATTGTACTTGATCAATCTACTATTGTATGTAGGAAACACCAATTGACTGTTGCTACTGTAAATGTTCGAATTCGTGATAGCATCAATACTGCCTTAAACATAAAAAACACGATGAACACTTGACATAAAAAATGACCATCTCAGAAGCTGATAGATATATAGTCCATAACTTGTCGCATGGTTAGTGATAAGTATCACTACATATTTCACTTATATGCAGAAATAATATACAGAAAATATGTTTGTACAGAGTTTTTCAATGACATTTAACATTACAGTAATGATAAACCTTGTCTCAGGACCAAATTCATTGGTATAAAAATACACTTTACAGAATAAATAACATGATAAATGTGGTGGTGTATTAAGAGGGACTAATCACCTATATTGTCTGACATCCAATAAGTTCCTGTGACAGAGTAATCATATGGATCATGACCATAGTAGCAAAAAAATTATTGCATTACAATTATCTTACAAATATAACAGCACATATAGAACCATAAAATTGTTTATGTTGATCTCAACCAAAACATATATTCATAATGGATCAAGAATTTTCATAGATCAGAAAAATACCCAATGCTAGTAAACATAAGTTACACATGGAAACAACATAGAACTTACAATGAAACCATGAGTGTCCCATTCATCCACATTCATGTGTTCAGCATATTTTTCTGACTTTCAAAGGGTGTACAACATTCAAGGAAAGATAATATACACTAAGCCATCAACAGTGTATGAAATATGCATCATTCACAGACATAACAGATTACCACACCAAAAAAATCATTATAAACAGGATGTGGACATACAAAAAATCATTTATCAGATTCAAGACTTTTATTTGAGTCTACTACAGCCATGTGTGTACTATTCACAGCATGGTATATCCCGAAAAGGAAAAACGCACGCGTATACGCAAGAATTAACATTTTATGATCAATTCAAAATTGTGGTAATCACTATTATTATATTGTGTTGCTTGATATGTAGCAGCACAGTGTCCTCTAAGAAATCAAGAGTACACAACAAACTCAAAGGGATTCACTTTCGAAACTTATCCGTCAGCGTTGCTTCTCTCCACGACAATCTGCTCCAACGATGATACGAAATAGAGGCTCAGATCTGAAGGTCAAATCTCAAGGTCAGGTCTGAAGAAACTTTTTTTACCTACATGCAATTTCTGAAATTAAAATCTAACCCCATGGGTAAAGGAAAAACGAAATCTTTGTGTGACAAAAAAACCTCAACACAGACGAAATAAAAAGATTTTCCTTACCTCACCTTTCAGAGTAACCAACCTTCATGTTCAGTGAATGGTTTCGTTTGGGTTTCAAAGCAGACACAGGAACATTGTGTTATTTGGCACATCCGATTCCACTTGCCTTGCATGTTCGTGTGTGCTAACTATGGACAATGGAAACTGAGCTGTATTAAGTCTGCAAAAAAGATTTCGCAGTAGATTTTCAATTTCGCGCAAAAGTTGAGGGTATGTTCGTCATGTAATTATTCACCCATTTATCCATTTAGGTAGACAACGCTGAATACCACATATGAATTGGGAATCTCTGGCTGTCTATTTGGATTCAATTGCTATGCAAAGTGGAATGCTGGGGTACTGATTTCGATAGATAAATTTTTAAAACTCTTCAACCAAACAAGGTCAATGAAGAATCCCAGTTATCAGATGCCTATCTATCTCCTCATAATACTCCTACCAAACGCCCCCTTAGTTTGTTGAGATGTTTAGAAATCGTGTTTCCTAACTTATTTGGTCTTCGAAGCATTAAATTAAGCCTCTGACTCTTTGACTTTCTAATAAGAATAAAATTTGTTTGATTATCTCCATGAGTTTATTTAAAAACTCAGCACAGCCATTGACTTGATCGAGGTCAGGGATTACGGGGTCATGGATTCAATTGGGGGTCACGAAATCACTTCGTGGACCTGATTTTATACATTAATAAAATATAAATATATATCTTTTATGAAAAATTCAAAAAAATCAAACCACCAATCTTCAAAGATTCAAAATATATTTAATATAATTCAATCAATTACATCTACAAGTCAATATTACACAAGTTAATCAAAGTATAAAACATATATTCCAATGGAGTTAATTTAAAGTTATATCTGTTGGATTTAGTATGCTCTTTTCACTTAAGCCCAATAGCTTTAGTGAGAGTGAGCCCAAAGTCTAATTTTAACTCATGAAGCTTAGGGTTAGTTTTGGATTGGGCAGGGTATATAAACTCTTTTTTCTCTCCAGTGCCTCCCAGGGTTACAGACATCAGAAACACACCAAAAAGGAAGACGTTCATCATCTGAACGGTTTCCCACACGACCCCCCTGATCCCCTTGAGTCATAGCCTGGAAGATCAACCGTAGAGCGGAATTGTGACCGTTCGTGGGGCGTTGATGGAGATCGTGAGGCTTGAGAAGGAGAACTGAATGTGAGGAATTGTCACGCTCGCTACTTCACCCCAGGTAATCAAAGCGATATCTTTATTCTTCATCGCATCGGTACGATGCGCTTCTGTGTTTCTGATGATATACCTTCATGTGGTATCAGAGCCGGATTGTGATGGGGATTAAGATCAGTTTTGATTTATTTATTTTTTCTATGTGATTTTGAAAATATGGCACCTTTATTCTGTATCTGTTATTTATATTCATGTTGTTGATTCTTTATAGTTATTTTTCATAAAAGTTTAAATTTTAATCGGAAAAAATGCTTTAATCCATGGTTAAGGTCTCTTGTGTATTTCTCGATTTGTAACAAGGAGGCTAATCCCATATGATTAGGTTTCCTCCTTGCTGTTTTCATTTATTTTTAGAAATTTCTGTGTATTTTTCCAATATTTTGTAAAAGTTCAAGATCGAGAAACTGCGAGGAAGATGCGCAGTCAGCATTGTCACAGACTTTTCGAGGACTTCCCGAGCTTAGAATGGGGCGATCCATATATGGTTGGAAAGAGGATGGAAAGACGAACACAGCGGTGGGTGGATAGCCTCCACGCACCGCCACAAGCGGCTGCATGTGGTCGCCACTCTCCGGCAAAGAATGAGTGCGTGTGGGAGCGTGCGGCCACCTTTTTGGGTGGTTCCGACGGCGGTGCACTTGTTTCTATGTGGTGGTCCTTCCCCTGGATTTTCGGCCTGATTTGACTTCGGATGATGGCGCGAAAAACCTGACGGCTAGGGTTCCTCTTTCGCGTCCTAGGGTTTCTCGCCAAAGGATTGGGTCTTTGGGCTTTTGGGCCCATGGAAACCCTAAAGGGGCTTGAGACAGATACTATGGGCTAGGCAAAAGTTGAATTCCAAAGTTGTAATATTTTATTTTTTTTATTTTCTTTAAAATAGGAAGGCCATGGATTAAAGTAATTAGAATTTATTATTTAATTCTTTTATTGATTGGTATGAGTTATATGTGTGATTAACATGATATTTGCGATAACATGTCATATAGGATAGGAAGGTGCCATATTCTTGCATGATCACATGTCATACGTGTATATTTACTATTATGTCATTACCGACTAGTATGATAGTTT